TCATCCATGGGGGCCAATGCACCTGTCAAAATACGTCTACTAAAAGTACTTGTTGTTGCCACTGACAGGCTCATATTGTTCTTCTTTAAGTGTCTGACAACATTATGTCAAGGTTTCCTACAGCGATATACCTTTAAGATGGAACGTGGAACTAAAGCCATTATATTGCTCTCTGAGAGCCACCATACTGAAAAACAGAACAAAGGAGTCCTGGTGTACTGCTGCCTCAGTCGGTTAATTTGTTTGTGTTATTGGGTGACACACAATAACACAAACAAACTCGAGGCAGCAAGACCAGCTACTCCTGGACCAATTCCAAAACGTTTTGTATCATTTAGACCCTTATGTATGTAAAAATATGGCCCAGGTTTAAAAGTACCAGAATTACCCCTTTAAGTGTTTTTCTAGCTTAATATCTAAACTTTTTTTTTTTTTAAGAGCCACACCGTGTCTATTTTTAAATGTGAACCTCATAGTAACCCTCCCAGAAGGATTTCTATCAGATTTTGTGGTCTGCAATGGAATTATGTTCTGTGTGTGTGTGTGTTTTTAGTATGTAAGTATAAGCATGTATAAGCACAGATGCATTTACGAATGTGTGTACTTCCTAATGTATAAAAACTATGGAGCATTAAGAGTACTATGGTAATGGGCTTAAAAGCTGCTAAACTGAAACTACATTGTGAACGTAATTTCAATTTTAAATAAATGCTATTTCACAGCGTGACTCAAACAAGATTTTATTTTGACGTTTAGCTTATTCATATGCAAAACAATACTTGTATTAACTGTTGGCAGCCCCTTTCTGAATGTCTTTAACTTAAAATGTGATTTATCACACAGTGGAAGGGGCACAGATTTATGGCTCAAAGAACTACAGCAAATTCCTCCCTGCAATAATATTGTTTTACAGTAAGGTAAAATATATATAATTAACCAGTGTCCAGGTTGAATGATCTGAGGTCCGAAATGCTTACCAGGAGTTCTTAGAAACTGTGGCCCTATGTAACCATATCTTATGTGGGAATCAGAATTTGGCGTTTATTAGATTCATGCCTGTTTTCACTTGGGAGACAGGAAACAGGGACTGCTTTTTATGGAAACCTTTGCTACCATGGATAAATAAGGATGGACTGTAACCTGGAGCAAAGGGTCACATAGTCTTTGCAGTTCTTTGATTTTGTATAGACTCTTTGGAATTAGTCCAGATTCTTTGTGGTATTCACAGTTGAAGGGGTGGCCCAAAAGATAAACAGGAAATACATCATCCACAGAGTATGCCCATGGGAGGAGAGGAGTTTCCTGCCAGCCAGGAATGCGGGCCATCATGCCATGCCCACAGCTGCTCTGTGGTTGCTCAGTGTCCATGTTAGCCATGCGGTTACACCACAATCAAAAATGAGTGGAATGTTACTTCTCACCTTTGAGTGTAAAAGATATTAAGTTATTATTATTATTAAGTGCTGAATAGAACAAAACAGCAGCATTTTTTTGGCATTAAGAAATGGAAAATACCTAATGGGCCAAAATAGAAAAACAATCACATGCTAAAGTACCAGCAAATATTTTTGTTAAACTTCAAGCATTAAAAGATTGTTTTTGTCATAGTTGGACATCACAGTGGAAAAGCTCATCGCTCACTGAGTTTTCTTCATATTTCCAAGAAAAACAAGGGAATATTTTCTGTACCAAAGAGACGCAGTGATGTCTGACATTCTCTGTTAAACCCTTCTTTGGATGTAATCCCCACAGTAACCCTTCCCCTAACACAATCAGTCAGCAGTGAATCAGCAATAAAGTATACATCTGTGATGTTTACTTCCAGCTGTATACATCATAGATGTGCGAACCAAGGAGAGCGCTCACATTACAGTACTGTGTACAGTAGACAGATCGCATGGGGCACATTTAGAGCTTTGACACTAACACCTGATCCTTTATAACGATCTATAATCTGACACACTACTGGATATGTACTACTCATAACGATTGCATTTCAGAACTCTGAGCATTTGATAAAAACGGTTTACTTTTACTGAAATAGCAAAACTTCAGGTAGAATCATCTTCCCACAGGGGATCTTATAATTAGTCTTTCCATAACCAAACGTTCACTGCTGTCCTTGTATCAGGATCCACAAAGTGTTCTTACCAAGCACAAAAGGTTGGACTATGCCCTGGCAATTGGATTGTGAGTATAGAACAAGTCCTCAGTCTAAAGAGGCGCATTAGAAAAAGGCTCTCCTTTGCCCCAATCACATTAGTGCTGCACAGAGCTGCCAATTAAGAAGCAGTCTATGGTGGTCCGGCTGACTTTTATTGGCTAAACAAATTTGATGAAAGTATGTGGTTTTGACCTTTTTGCTGCATTAAGGTAGAACTGGAGGCATTGAGAAGCAGAGCAGAGATGAGATGAAAATGGCAGCCTATTCAAGCCCTACTTTAAAACAACAGATCAAAAGTGCGATAATCCTCTATGGAACCGTCCATAATCAAATTAGGTGGTTCTAAAGGAGAAAACACCATCTTCTTTCCCAGTGAAATTATGTTATTTCCAGTTTGCAAAGACCTTGTCCCAATAAAAACTGTTCTGGTCCCTAAACATTCTGCAGCAGAGCCAGTGTGAATGTTGTTAAACTGTGGACCCAGTCCCTAATGTAAGAGGTCCTACATTTCAACAATAACTGTTCCAGAAATAAGTTGTAAGCAGATGTTTTACTAACATCTGGTAAATTGAAGATTCTTCGCTAAATTGCTACTTTTGCTAAAGCGCTTCAATTGAAACCAGAAACGGAACTTTGGATTCATTAAAGAGGCCATATTATACTAATTTTAAGGTAGTTATAGTTGTATTTCGGGGGGCTCTACTACAATGGGTTTACATGCCTCATATGCCTTATACTGGCCTTTGCTGCAGCATCTCTGTTCACCCTCTGTCCGTACTGATTTCTGTTTCACGTGGACTTTAAAGGGGACATATTATGCAAAACCAACTTTTTAATCATTTGATTATGTACATTTG